CTGGATAACGCATTTTGGCGTCCAGAAAATGCTTGCTCGCGTCCAGCAAACGTTTGCTCGTGTAATATACTGGCCATTGGACCCTGTCTTCCTCTCGGATTAGAGCTGCACTGACCGCATATTGAGAGACGGACATATACAAGAGAAGAATTTCTTGAGGGAGAGGTTTGGACAGATGAGGCAGCTTTCCGAGGTGCTCTTTAATGCTCTGGAATGCCTATTCGCACTTGGGAGTCCATTCGAATTTCTTGTTGGCCTTGAGTATATTAAAGAATGGCAAGCAACAATCTGTTGTCTTTGATATGAAGCGAATGAGCGCTGCTATTCGCCCATTGAGACCCTGAACCTATTTTCAGTTGGTCGGGCTTTTCATATCGAAGAGAGCTTGGATCTTTTCGGGGTTGATCTCTATTCCCCTCTGGTTAACCATGTACCCTAGGAATTTTCTCGAGGATACTCCGAACGAACACTTGAGAGGATTGAGCTTCATTTTGTATCTCCGAAGTATACCGAACATCTCAGCGAGATGCGCTATGTGATATGAGACGACATGTGATTTGACCAGTATGTCATCAACATAGACTTCCACTGATTTTCCGATCTGCTCGAAAAATATCCGATTAACCAGTCGCTGGTAAGTCGCCCCAACATTCTTTAGGCCGAAGGGCATAACCTTATAGCAATACAACCCCCGATCTGTAACAAATGAGGTACGCTCTTCGTCCGACGTGTATATCAGAATCTGATTGTATCCCGAGTAGGCATCCATAAAACTCAGCAGCTTGTGCCCGAAGGTGGCATCAATGAGCTGGTCGATTCTGGCAAGGGAAAGCTGTCTTTCGGACAAGCTTTGTTGAGGTCGGTGACGTCAACGCAGGTTCGCCATTTGTCATTAGACTTCTTTACCAAAACTCGGTTGACAACCCAGCTCGGGTAGAGTGCCTCTCAGATGGATCCGTTTAGGAGGAGATTATCTACCTCAACTTTCAAGGCAACATATCGCTCTGGATTCATTGCTCTTCGCTTCTGGCGGACCGGCCTGACGTCATTATCGATATTCAGGGCATATCATATGATATTTGGGCTGATCCCGACCATGTCGGCATGAGTCCATGAGAACACATCGATATTTTCCCTAAGGAAGCCGGTTAGGTCGCTAGCAAGCTAGGGGTTGAGATTACTCCCAATTCTCAACACCCGGCTCGGCTTGGCTCACTTTGATCGACCGATACTTCAGAAAGGTCCTCAATCGGCCCACTGCAAGGGCATTCCTGGATACGAGGATCCATGTTATCTCGGCTGGGCCAGGCTGTGGTTTGATCCCACTGATCGCCATTGCCTGTTCAGGGATGCCAAGGGGAGTGCCTTTTCCCTTGCACGCCATCTATATTGCCCTTACATAGTAGTCGCTAGATGCACGTTGAGATCCGCTTACTTCCCCGATCTTCATCGGGGTGGAGAACTTCATCTTGAGATGGTAGATCGAGGTGACTGCTTTGAAGCTTCTTAGTAGAGGTTGTCCTAAGATGCCATTGAAAGCGGACGGATAGTCCACTACTAGGAACTCAGTAATTTTGGTTACCTCGTTGGTGTCACCCAATGTGACCGGGAGCGAGATCGTCTCCTTGGGGATCAGGTGATCCCCGGTGAAACCATATAGAGGGATGGAGGTAGGCTTCAGATCGACCTCATCCAGTTTCATCCTTTCGAAAGCTCGTTAGAACAAGATGTTCACAGCACTTCCATTGTCCACCAGCATTCTGTGAACCTCGCACCGCCCTATCTCGGGCATGATGACGAGAGCATCATCGTGGGGATGATGCAATCATATTGCGTCTTTTTTAGAGAATGTGATTTCCTCCTCTCTACGGACTTTTGTTGGTTGCGGCGTCATACTCATCACACTTATTGGGTCATGACGGGTTACGTGAGCATACCTTTCATGGGCACCTCACGAATTTTCCGTGAGATGTGGTCCCCCTAAAACGATCCCTACACTGTAGAGACCTTTGTGACCACGACGTTTCTTGCCCGGTTCCTCTTGATTTTTCTCCCGAACGGGAGCAGAGTCATCGACATACTCTTTGAAGTGTCCCTGCTTAATAAGGTCCTCAATTGCTTGCTTGAGGGCTCGACACTCATTAGTGTGGTGCCCATTATCCTGACGATAGCGGCAGTATTTTTTACTACTTCTAGCTGAAGAGAGATTTTTCATGGGCTCGGGCTCTCCGAGCAAACCGGCCTCCTTCGACTTATCAAGAATAACTGAGACTAAGGCATTCAGAGGGGTGTACTGACCCTTGTCGTGATCACGACGAGGAACCGGGGCATAAGATTTGTCAGGCTCATATCGCTGCTTCTTTCCTCTTCGCTTATCGTCATTAGCCTATCTGCAATCAGCTCTCCTATTCTTCCCCCCCCGATCGAGAGCACTGCCCGAAGGACCGAGGTCGTGACGGTTGAGCACCGTCGCAGAGTTTTCAATGCAGAGGTACTTTTCTGTAAGGCTGTAGAAGCAAGTGAGGGAAACATCGTCCTCAGATTGTAGCTCTTTCCACAAATTTGTCTGTGGGTGAACTCCCGCGATAATGAGAGTTCGAACGGACTCTTCGGGGGTGTGAGCTACTTTGTGAAGCTCCCGGTCTAACCTGTCAATATAAGATGAGAACTTCCTGTTTGCCTAGAAGTGCCTCAGAAATGTCGAGCTCATTTGAGGCCACAAGCTGACCGATCCTACTGGGAGCGGCCTGAACCATCGCTTGGCATGGGAGGTAAAAGTTACAGCCAAGCAACGATATTTTGCCAAGCCAGAGACTTGGTGGAGTTCCATGAGGTCGCTGAACTCGTACAGGTGATCCTGCGGATCAAAATTCCCATAGAATGCTCGCATGTCGGGCATCTTGAATCTTGATGGGAGGAGAGCGGCAAATACTGCCAGAGAAAAGGGAGACGCCTCTGCGACCTACCCTTGCTCATTTCGTTGAGCCTTTAGCTGATCCAAAGCTCGTTGTAGTTCCTTAATCTGAGGCAACGGAGCTATCCAAGGATCACTTTCTGCAACGTTGGTTCGACCCTCACGGTTATGGTTGAGAAAAGACCGTAGAAAGAATTCCTCCTCGCCTTGACCGGCAGTTCTGGCCAACTCGAGACACGCTAGTCAGAGCCATGTGATGGCATTGAATGGCTCGGGGAGCCTTCCCGACCTTCGCGGTGGTACGAACTGACACGCGAACGGCGGGAATCCCCCGCACGATGACGATCAATGTCGTCATTTTGGCAATAATGGGAATCTCTCCGCCTTGTACTTTTGTGGGAGTGCTCGTGCGACGTGGCACGGGATGGCTTGGGTCGCGACATGTCACCGAGTCGCAATGCCACAGGTATTCTACCCGGGGCACGATCGGTGTTCGCTGGTCCCTCGTAGCCTTTGGGTTCGCTGTGCACCACTTGCTTTCCCCTTCTTTGATGCGCTGCAGTGCGTGCGGAGGCTTTGCCCTTTTTCGTGCTTTCGCGCGACCTGCAGGCGTTTTCGACTGTGGCACCGCCCCATTTGATTTGAGTGGCATGACCCGATCCAATCGGTCCAGCTTTGGCTGACCGTTTGGAGAGTATTGTTGAACCTCTCCAAGTAGCTCATGACGACTGGATCGAGCCATGAGCTTGAAGGGATATCCCCCATGATATTTTGCTGGGCTAGGGGCACTTCAGGAGATGTCCTTTTGTACTTGGGGGATCTCTTCATTGCCATAATTGGTTCGCCCAGATTCGAAACCGCGAGCCATTTGCTGTAGTGGGACCGATTAGTCAGAGATTCTCCTATTAACTTATTAATTTATAAATCCTATGTTTGTTTTTTTACAAAATACCCCCTATAATAAAACATTAAAAGTTAACAAAAACACCCCCAACCCACCCTCAAATATGGACAGCTAGCCACCACCGTCGGAGGGTGGCCGGAGTCACCGTATCGACGCATGACCGACTGGATCTTGCCGGTCTTACGCCGATATGGCATTTTCCGGCTAAATCCACGGTGGATCTGGCCGTCAATGACTAGATCTCGTCATATTTGCTCGTCAACGACGACCAACAAGCGGTTGTCGTTGATGGTCAACGATGACCGTTTGTTGGCCGTCGTGACCGACTGTTACGGCCAAAGATCTGGCCGTTTGGCCTTAGATCTGGCCGTTTGGCCTTAGATCTGGTGGATCTGGCCGAAAAAGGCTAGATCGGCGCACTACCGGCCAGATTCAGCCGGTAGTGCGCCATCCTACCAGAGTCCCGCCATTTTCCGACGGTGGTGGCTAGAATCTGGTAAATGTGGATTGTTGGGGTGATTTTATAATTTTTAAAAAAATATTTAGGGGTATTTACTTAAATTAACAAATTTAGAGGGTTTAAAAAAAATTGCATAATATTGAAAGTAGTATTCCCAAAAATAAGAGTTTTTGGGTATTTTACTGTTTAACTTTTTTGGGAATACTAAAAGTAGTATTCCCAATTTTGAACCAAACGAAGCCTAAGAGATTCTTTGGTTCGGGCCGAAGAAACAATGTCACTCGATCATTATCAAACCAACTGCAATCTTTTTCTATTCGTGAGGATCCCATCAAAGCACCTTCTACTTCTAGTAGGCCATGAACTAGATTAGGATCATTCTCAACGAGTCTAGAAGAAGTGATCCTGTTTTTTTCATCGGGTTTGGGTAGAGACCAAAGGTCCTGAGTGACCGATTCGGCAGAACAACTCAAAAGATAAAGAAGTATCGTTAATTTCTTCATGCTCATTCCAAGTTCGAGTTAGTTTGTTCGTACTTTAACTAATTCTCAAAAACTATCGAACACTTTATAAACCCAATAATCTAAAATAAATCACACAAAACCAATAAGAGAAGCAAACTTCTTTTTCCACTGTCTCAATCCCGTCGTATTACATCTATTACATTCAAAAAAAAAAAAAAAAGAAAAGAAAAAAGAAATTCAATTCTCGCACGACACACACGAGGTTCCATGGCACAGAATATATGCGATGGTTGATGAATGGCAACTTTTACTCAAACTCATACTCTTCACTAACTGCAATAATTCTACCTTCTTACAAACTCTCACTCAACTGATTTTCAAATTTCACATAATTCCTCACCAACTGAGAATCCCAATCTCATAAATTATGTCCTCTACTGTTAACTCTTCAAACGATCATGACGATAACCATGTTCAAGATCAAGAATCTATCACCTTCCCTTTACTTCGCCGCGAAAGATCTCCCATTAATTCTAGCTCTCAAGTCGCCATCGTCGGCTCTTATGTCTGCCCCATTGAAAGTCTTGATTATGAGTAAAGTTTCAATCTTTACACCGCTTCAATTCCTCTTTATCGGTTTTGTTTTGTTTTTTCATGTGGTTTTGTTTTTTTCTATTTTTTTTTAGGATAGCTGAGAATGATTTTTTCAAGCAGGACTGGAGAACTCGTGGGAAAGCTTATATTTTTCAGTATATATTTATGAAGTGGTCTCTGTGTTTTTTGATTGGGTTGATTGTTGGGCTTATTGGGTTCTTCAATAATCTTGCTGTTGAGAATATTGCAGGGATCAAGTTTGTGGTTACTTCTAATATGATGTTAGCCTCCAAGTAAGTGCTATAAAAGACTTGGTTTTTGTTTTGAGCTTCTTCTTCTTTTTTTTTTTTNTTTCGCATTAATTTTGTATAAATAACGGCATGTCAATCAGGATAATTTTCTAATGAATCTCTAGTTAACATCCTGATTATGCCTCATGTATAGGGACAAACTTGTTAAGGGCCGGGCTAGTTAAAAGCTGTTAATGTGAATGATATCTTTCTATAAACATGTGGCGAGCGACCTGGTAGGCTTGCGACCTAATGCTATTGACCAGATGTTCTAGATGAATAAAGCTGCGATGTGAATCAAATGTTCTCTAATCGTGTGTTCTAATGAACATGCAATTTAGATGAAGTGACTAGAGGGTAATGCGACCTGGAAGCAATATAGGAAAGTGTCCAAGCGATCTAACGAGCTTGTAATCAAAAGCATGTAATGATCTGTCGTAAGGAAGGTCATAGCCATCATTGTTGAAAGTTCCTTGTATGGTTCAGTTGTTATCACGGATAAGAGTGTCAGATGTCAAACTGGTTAAGGATGTTAGTGCGTTAAATATGTTTGTAACCTAGGGTAGCATTTAATGCTTTGTAGAATAGGTGTGTTAAAAGGCACAACCAATGATGTGTCTAGGTTGCATAAAATCAATGTTTGAATTAATGAAAAAAAAAACTTTTTCGTGCATTCTATCTTTTTATTCTCCAGCTTGTAATCCAACAAGAGCTTTGAAGCTTCTGAAAGTAGTGCTAGAAAGCAAAGGAAGGGAAATATTTGAATCAGGATACAAGACAATGAAGAGCCGCTGGGAAAAGTTGAGCGATATCATATCACTATCAAAGAGATTTTCTCCCCAACAAATTGCCCCTCAGTATTATATCTTCTTCCACAAAGTCAGGGCAGCTTGTCCAGGTAATTCTCTTAACCATAATCGAAATCTGAAACTTACTCGAATTAAGGATTCTCTCCTGATCGAGCTCGCCGGTTCATGCATGGTTAAAATGTGAGATGGAAGAAGATAAAAACTTCCATGAGGTCCCGACAGCTGGAAAGATCATCGGGCGAGAAGGCAGTATGTTCAATGCTGAAGATAGCTATGAACTTCTCAGCCTCCACAGAACCGAAGACGATTTCAATCTGTTGCTGCAGAGACTAAAAAATTAGTGTCAGAAGAAGACGGTGGCGCCAAAACTATGTGAAGAATGTGATCAACTGATTGTTAATTACAAGAGCTTCTCCTTCTTAATCGCAGCAATAATAATGTAAACGGTCATGTCTGTTGACCTGCTAAGCTTTTAGATAGTAAAAATATTTCAATATCGTTCAGATTTGTCATTTGTAAATGTTTCTGCACTAGGAATGTTGCAACAAGTAACCAAATGCAATTATTTGAGGACTTATAGCAGGAAAAAGGAATCTACAAAGATGATAATTCACTTTTTATTTGTATTTGTCCAATTGTGCTTGTCTTGTCACGACAAAAAAGTATAGAATAATCAAGATGTCGTTGTACTTTGACGTCAATTCTATATATTAGAATTCTATAGAGAATCTTTTTTGTGAGCCAATAAAAATATTATATCTGTCCAGATTCTCTTAAACAGAACAAGGCGGCTCTCCAAAAAGCCAGGGAGCTAGGCTCGCCAGCCATCGAAAAAACATGGCCAAAATTCAAAGTTCCAAGTATGTGTTATGTTTAGTTTCTTCTCTGGTTCTGAATCTCATCTCCATCATAAATCTTTATGTGGGTAGGGAGTGGAATCTGAATTGGAGCAGTAAAGCTGCAAGAGAAGCTGAGGCCGTGGCTGCAATCTCATGTTCTGGCCATGGAAGAGCTTACTTGGATGGGATTGTTGTCGATGGAAAACCGCCAATTTGCGAGTGCAATTCTTGCTATACTGGCCCTGATTGCTCTCAACCTTTGCCTGATTGTGCTGCTAACGCTGACGGGTACCTTTCTAACTATCACTCTTTTTTAAGTCTTTGAACTGCAGTATAGGACCAATAATGTTATTAGTCTCTTTTACAGCAGTTAGTCTGATCACAGTAAAAAATTTAGAAAGCAATTTAATAAACAGTAAGGTTTCCGTTTATAATTGAGACGAGCTCGTATGCTTGAGAGACAAATTAATAAATAAAAAATATGTTTAATCACCAAATTGTCATGGTTTGCAGGGGGGATCCATTGTTTTTGGAGCCTTTCTGGATGCAAAATGCAGCAAGCAGCGCAATTCTTGTAGCAGGATGGCACAGAATGAGTTATACATACACAGATGACTCTTACATCTCTCAAGAGCTCGACAGGCACATCCGAAAACTCCATGCCATTGTAGGGAATGCGGTAACAGAAAAAAGATTCATGATTTTCGGAGCTGGATCAACCCAACTCCTAAATGCTGCAGTCCATGCCCTTTCTCCTGATAACTCTTCCTTACCTGCAAAAGTTGTCGCTACAACCCCTTTTTACCCGGTTTGCATTCATCTGAACCCAGAATTTCGTATTTTGTGAAAAGAGTATTTGCAAACGCGTCTGATAAAATTATTTCTTTGGTATTACCTTGATGGTTTCCAGGTTTATAAGAGACAAACAGACTATTTCCAGTCAGGGGATTTCGAGTTCTTTGGAGATACATCTCTATGGAAGAATAGCTCTGATACAAGTATGAATTTCGTTGAGTTTGTAACTGCACCAAACAATCCTGATGGAAAGATGAACAAGGCAGTTCTTCAGGGCCCATATGCCAAACAAATTTATGATCATGCATATTATTGGCCTCATTTTGCAGCAATTTCAGCTCCTGCAGATGAAGATGTAATGCTTTTTACACTCTCTAAGATGACTGGTCATGCTGGCACCAGGTTTGGGTAATAATCAAACCATCAATACTGCTAGGGATCAGACCATTTCTTTGGACTCTTTTTCAAATTCTATTAATGTTGGTTGATCATATATTTCATTATAGTTCCATGATTCAGATTCTCTTTTTCTATTTGATCCCTTTGAATTCCATATTCAAAGTATTGACTGGATCAATTTATTAGAATTCAATACATTACTTATGTGTAAATGGGTGCTATAATGGATTTAAATCCGATTTCGGATGAATCTATATTTGATTGATTGCCTTCATTATGTTATTGTAACAAATACCCCAAATTTTTTTTTTTGGTTTGATCTCCCAAATCATTCTGGCAGCGAGTAATTAATCAATATAAAACCCCCAAAACTTAGAGGTTAGCATAAGCTCTCTGTAATTCACCAAAAATCTTATCCGCATCATCAGTGCAAGCTGGCTCTGATAAAGTAGTATTTTGATAAATTGTTACATCTTACATTGCTAAAGAAAACTATGCAGGTGGGCATTGATAAAGGATGAGGCTGTGTACGAAAGAATGATAAACCATATGACATTAAACACCATGGGGGTTTCTCGGGACAGTCAGCTAAGAGCTTTGAAGCTTCTGAAAGTAGTGCTACAAAGCAGAGGAAGGGAAATATTTGAATTCGGATACAAAACAATGCAGAACCGCTGGGAAAAGTTGAGCAAGATTGTATCACTATCAAACAGATTTTCTCTCCAGGAAATTGCTCCTCAGTACTGCAACTTCTTCCACAAAGTCAGGCCAGCTTCACCAGGTAATCGTTTTAACCTGAAGGCCTTAATCTCTTCAATATAGATTTGAACTATTTCTAATCACGTGCTTATAAAAATGAGCTTTCATGTTATCCCTGATTGCCACAAGATTCCATTTTAAGAGCTTGATAAATATTTCAGCTTATGGATGGTTGAAATGTGAGATGGAAGAAGAAAAAGACTGCCATGAAGTTCTTAAAGCAGGAAAGATTAATGTACGAGAAGGTAACAAGTTTAGTGCAGACAATCGCCATGTGAGGGTGAGCTTGATCAGAAGACAGGATGATTTTGATTTACTGCTGCAGAGATTGACCAAATTCGTCTCTGAGGAAGATGGTGGAGGAGATAACAAAACTATGTGAAGAATTAGTGTGATCAATTATCAGTTCATTACAAGCTGCTTCTTCAACAATTAATAATAATAAATGTGAAAGTTGGTCATGTCTATTGACCTGCATGTTGTTATTAAATTTCAAATTAAGCTATTAAATGTTGCAAATTGCACTAGCTATTAAGTACAATACAACTATATATATTTCCAATACTACATTATTTGGGTTCTCATTTTCTGTGGACAATTTGACAAATTTGATGGAATCAATAGTCCACTCAGTTAGAATCTTTTGAGGTTTTATAAGACGTTTTGAGATTGTAGAACTTGTTCGGCTACAATCTTTTCCTGTCTATGAGAATCCTGTTGAAGTGTCTTCTACTTCTAGTAGGCTGTGAATAGAGATGACAATTGTACCCGGATTTCTGGGAACTTGGTTCGGCCAGAGCTGGACGGGGTCGGGGATTACCTACTGTTTGCGAGGATGGGCACGGGCCTGGATACGGTTTTAGGGCCCAGGTTCGGGTATGGGTTGGGCTCACGACAATCCTCATCCCGGTCCGGCCCGAGTTTTTAACATGGGCCGTCGTTTATTTTATTATTTTATGATATTAAAGCTTAATCTTATCTTCGTCCAAGAATGTAACTTTTTTTGATGATGTTAAATTGCATTCCATTTATTTCCTAAATAAATAAAATGAAAATGTCATTCAATTTTTAAGTTATCATTTAAAAAAAATTAAAATTTTATTTTATTTGATTATAATTTTGATAACAATCAATTGAGATTTTAGTTGAACTCAAGATCCCTTGTCCATCATATTAATCTATACACACAAAAAATATGATGATTAAAGCAGAAGTTACTATTAATTAAGTTAATATGAATGACAAAGAAAGATATATCAAAGATTGCCCTTGAGAAAATAAATTGTTGAAATTAACATGGGCCGGGACTAGGGATTACAAAATTCCCGTCGAGCTGGGCCTAGGCATTACCCGCCATCCCCGTAACGAGTCTAGGCCAGGCACAAGTAGACTTGGCAAACGGGCGGGCCGAGCAGGTACGACTCAGGTTGATGCAGGTAACAGGTAAAATGGGTACGGGTAGACAGGTAAAATTTTGGAACGAGTAAAAATATGTATGACCTGTACCCGCCCATATGGGTGCGGGTGGACCCGTGGGTCACCCACAAAAAAATGATTTTTTTTTTTATATTTTTTCATAAAATGTATATTGTATTAATTAAACAAGGACCCACTAAAATATACAATAATTTAATAAATTGTTACTAAATGGGCAGTAGATTATGACCACCAGTAAACAAAGAACTAGACATATATTGGTCTTCTCTTCTTTCTAAATTAGTATTGAATTTTTGTGACGATAACTCCAAGGATAGAGCTGGTTATCTGGCGTTGGCGATATGTGAACTTGGTAAGTAGAATATTCCGAGTTGCTAATTTCACTTTCAGAGTCGAGATCGTCTATGGAGGCACTGAGGTGATGAAATTGGGGGTCTCTTCTCGCCATTGCTTGTCTCCGTCTCTCTTTAGCTATCAAAAAGATGGAAACTTGAGAAAGTATAAGAAAACTTGAGGCGACAACGGCGTAAGAGAGATTGTGAGATTCAAAGCTGCTTTGCGTCGTCGGCGTGAGAGTGAAAGAGTTTAAGTTTCAGAGATTGTGAGATTCAGCCTGAAAGTGAGAGAGTTTCAGTTTGAGAGATTATGATTTGTGAGATTCAGCCTGAGAGTGAGAGTTTCAGTTTGAGTCTTTGAGAGGCGAAAATTTAGCTGCCCGACCATCCCAAGTTTCGATTTAAGAAAATGGCCTGAAACTGTTTTTCATTTTTTTTCAATTTAGAGAAGATGACGTGGCATAGTTAGGATTAATTAAACACGTAAAATAGGTTAAAATGAAAAGATTAAAACAAATGTGGGCCGAATCAGAAATTAAAATTTGAAATTTCTCAAAACAAGCCCCACTATTAACCTCGCTTAATCGAAATTCATTAGGGCAAAAAGCGATATCTTGAACCAAAGGGAGACGCGATTTTTTCCGATTGAACACCTACAAATTTGCACACTAAATCAATTTCTTGAAGCCTAAACCAAATACAGCCGTGATTTCCGGCGATATAGTCGCGATTTCCGATCGATTTGTTGAACCCTAAAATCGATTTCCTTAACCCTAAATGGAATTTGTGCGATTTCCGGCGATACAGCCCACATTTCTGATCGAAACTGCAAACTTTGACACCAAATTCAATCCAAAACCATGGCTGACACTCACAATAAGGAGGAAAACCCAACGCCACTTCGAATCCTAGATTCCGGTGGTGCAAGCAGTTTAATGGCTACTCCGGTGGATCATTTGATTAGTGAAGGTGGTACACACGCAGAGGAGATGCCGGTGGCACAAGAACAGAGGAAAAAACCGACAAACGGTTCTAAAGACGAGGTTTCAGGCGAGAATTCAGGCCAAGAGGAGGATTCCAGCGAGAATTCAGGCTAGGAGGAGGATTCTTGCTAGAATTCAGGCCAGGAGGAGTCGTCTGAGGATTCAGGCGACGAGGAGGAGGCCGACGAAGAAAGGATACGTTGTTTGGGAATATTGCTTGTTTTGTCGCTTAAGCGATTAATCTGTTATACTCATGATCGCACTCATGATCGCTTAAGCGATCATAAGTGTTTACTCTTGGTCGCTTAAGCGATTTCAGATCGCTTAAGCGATCTTGTCGAGGCAGAATCACATATAGTAAGCGATCTTTTGAATTTCTTAAGAGATTCTCAATTTACTCTTGGTCGCTTAAGCGATCTTGCACGAGGCAGAGTAAGATCTCTTAAGCGATCCGAAATCGCTTAAGCGACTACAGTGGTAATTTTTTGTTGCTGATATTAGTTGTTTTGGTTTATTTTTGTTGCTGACATTTTGTTTATATCGATTGTGCAGATTCTGCTGACCGTAAACTGTAGAGACTACGAGTTGGAGCCTATAAGTGAGAAGGTACCCTACTTCCCTGCAAGGGTAACAGTGAGGTCGAGTTGAGATGTTTTTGACAGAATAAGGGTCATTTTAGTTGGAATGAGGCGTGGTGAAAAAGATTTTGGTCGCACTTGTTTCGGTCAGTTTTTAAGAATGGGAACAAATTGGAAAAAAGGCATTTTGGGGGCAGGGAGTGCATTACATGTTGATGCACTCAGTGAAATGCAACAAAAAAAATGAAATGTGGTTCTTGGTGGATGGAAAGCAACTATAGTTTGGGATGATGGAGTATGCCTTGGTGACAGGCTTAGGATGTGGGGAAGTGCCAAATAAGGCAGAGGCAGACGCAATAAGGATGAGTCTAGGAGCCATAAGGTTTCGTAAGAAGGTTTTGCAGGGGGCAAAGTCTATTACAGGACACATTTTGGAGGAGAGGCTACAAATAGTTCGGTTTAATGATGGAGAGAAGATAAAAGTGTGCTTGCTATTGTTTTTACATTCTATCTTATTGGCTGCTGACTCAACAAAAGCTGTTGAGAAAGATTGGTTGTTGTTTGCAAGCGACTTTGAGTTCTTTAATTATTATCCATAGGGACGGATATCATTTGAGCGAACCATCAAGAGCCTGAAAAAACCAGACATGGCATTAAAACATGCTGAATGGGGCGGGAAGGCTAAACCAAGCACATATAATTTGTTTAGCTTCCCATGGGCCATGCAGGTAAATATTAATAGCTCTCTGTTATATTTTTTTATAATATATATGTTTGAATTATGATATGGACTGTTTTTTTACAATGTAGGCTTGGATGTACGAGGTCATCCCTGTTTTCGCTAAGGCGGGGGAAGGCAACAGTTTGGATGTACAACAACAATTTCCTAGGATGTTGCGGTGGCATGTCCAGAACTGTAACCATTCGGATTACGGCCAAATAGAGATTGAGATTCAAGCGGCTAGGTTAAGATTAAAGGATTAAGTTTTTGCATATGTAGTTGCTTTTTGATTTTGCTTCAATTTGATTGATTTTGTTTCTTATTGCAGGGAGTCGTCCGTCCCTTTCTCACCGCTATTGGGGATGAAGCGGAAGATGACTATATCACATCTTTCAAAGCAATGGCTGATGGAAGGGATGAACGGATAGACCGCTTGATGTGGGACCTAAAAGGGGTCATGCATGTGACAGCAGTTACAAGGCCATTGCTTGACAACATCGTTGATGCCGAGGAGGATTATGAAGCTCCAATTGGCGGGAGGCCCGAGGATGAGGAGGAGAAGAGGGAGGAAGAGGTTCGTATGCCTCTACAAACCGGTACAACAAGTACCGCTTTGCCGAGACATCGGCGTCGGGAGAATGAGGTTGATGACCTCATAAACGGCCTGTTTGAGAGTTTTACAACAGCCGTTTATGCAAGGTTTGACAAGATGGAAGAGTGCATAAAAAAGGTGGAGGAGAAAGTGGATAAGCTAGGAGGGAAAGTTGGTACAGTGGATGAGGAAGTTGGTACAATGGAGGAGGAAGTTGTTGGAGAATTAAAGGCGGTTGAAGTGCAAACTGGCTTGAAAAGAGAGAGCCAAAAGAGCAAGTTTGTGAAATCGCCTTACATGGTAGTGACATAGGTAAAGAAGAAGAAAATTAAGAAACAAATGGAGGAAGAACCAGAAATGGAGGAGGTTGAGGAGGTTGGTGGAGGAAGTGGGGCTGTGATAATGGAGGAGGGCGAGGTGGGGGCGAAGGAAGTGGGGATGTAAAAATGGAGGAACCGGGAGGAAGTGGGCAAGGGAAATTGGACTCAAATGTTGATTTGTATAGGCCAATAGAGGAAAAGAAAAAACTCTTCTATGCCTATTACAATGGATCAGGAAGTAATAGCCATATAAAGTGTAAGACAGGGGATTATCCCTGAATGGTTTCAGAAGTTGTTGACGATAGGCACGTGGCTTGAGGACTCGGTGAGTTATTTTCGCTTAATTTTCCTTATTTTTGCCTATGTTTTCCATACTTATCTTGTTGTTTTTATTTGATGCAGCACATCGATAAGATATTGGCACTGATGAGGCTACGACAAACTACTGATGGTGATCTGTTGTATCCCAACTGTGCCGTTACCGATGTGGCGTTTGGCCAAACGCTTGTTTCGGCATATCGCACTTTAATTAAAAATGTCGTTGCTAGTGGTGCAGCAAAAAGACCGAAGCGAAAAAGATTGGCCTTAGTACAATTGGACTGCATCCTTGATGATTTTCATTTTGATGATAGAATTATGCAGTATATATGGGGGGATCGGCCCAAATATGGCCACGGTTGGGCCTTTGT